GTCACCGATTTTTATAAAATAGAGTTTTCCCTTATGGGGACTAGGAAACCGGTCCCCATAAGGGAAAAAAAAACGGATGTTTATCACATTATGGGGACATTATGTCCCCATAAGGATAGGTAAACCCGCTCGCGCACACACACACACACACACACACACATGTACACACACAGAATTAACCCCGAAACACAGATAAAGATGTAATCTTTTCTTAAAAATTTTCTTAAAATAATTGAGTGGGACCAGTTAAATATTTTGTTTCCACAGAAACATGGACAGTTAAAAATACTACCCAACAGGACGTTAATCCGACACCTGATATTTACTTTGTTTACACCTATATGCATACTGCTTAAATACAGTACTCACATAAATCACAACAACAGTAATAATGAGGGGAAAAGGCTGCTCGTTTAAATAATTACATTTTCTTTTGTGTCAATGCTTGAACACACTAAAGAAATTAGTGTTCTTCATTATAATAGCCCAGCAGATTCAGCGATAAGCAGCGTAATCCTTACCTTACAGTCCTCTGTACGTGATCTGACTGAATAATCCTCTGATAAATATTTGAGGAAGAGGAAATCAAACTCCTCATATTTTTCCTGAGCGTGTTGGTCCAGCCTCATGTATGCCTGGATGCAGCTGTTGCAGGAGCCTTCCTCATCCACACCTCCACTGACCAAATCCCAGATCAAGTTCTGAAGACTGCAATTCAAACCGTCTGGACTTGCCATCCCCACCAGCAGGTCTGAAATTGTATATGAACCACAAAAAGAAAGACTAAAATTCCTAAAATAAGTCAATAGTAACTGGGGTGACAATGACGATCTGTTGTGAGTTGTAAGTGATGATCCAGCGCCTCTTTTTTTCCAGTGCAGTGTGGTGCAGGATGACTCCAGATTTTGGTGGTTTCGCGCTTCAGTGCAATGTGGACTTGGAGCAGCGGATTTGGTCAAACTGCTTAGGGGCAAACCACAGTTTCCCTCATTCTGCACTGCATGGTCCCCATCAGTCGCGTTGTTCCAGTATTTGCGGCTGTTCTTATCCTTGGACCTAAGCTTAACTCCAGCACACAGCCATAGGTGATCGGAGAGAAGGACGGTAAAAACTAATAAGGATGCTAAAGACATTCGCCATTTCTGTGCCCTCTCGGAATCGGCGCACGGTTTGTCGTTTTGTTTGGGGGTACAACAGATTTTTAACACGGCATCATCTTCCCTTCGATACATCCAAGCACCCCTGATCATATTTCAGGGGTACACAAAGATGTTTTCCAGTTGTTTTTCCTCCTCTCCAATTTTTCATCCAAACAATGTCACCTACCTTATGTGCATCATTATGTTAAGTTACATTTTTTCTCTTTTGAATCGAGAAGTCAAACTTCAAGAAGAGCGTCTAATGATCAGCAAAAGATCCATCGCAATGGAAAGAACAACGTAATCGTACCTCTACACCCGTCATTTTAGCGAAATTCATACCTAGCAGCAGAATAGAAACGCATAACAAAATCGCGATTTTACCTAAATGCCGTCACGCCTGACTAACATTTTCCTCGTTTTTTCTTCCTTCTCTTGTGGGAAAAGCGGCATTTGCTTCTCGTTCAGTTTTCCCTTTACCCCATCCCCTCTCAGTCTGTCGCCATCTTCGACACCTTGAGTTTTTTTAATTGAGTGGGGTGGGGGCGCGTGCGCGCTCGCACCGTTACCCCCTGCTCGATGTCGCCTGTCACTTCCCCGTTTACAACCTCTTCATTCATTCCCCAACGTCCATTCGTTTTTTTTCTAGTCACACCTGTTAGAGGGAGGTTTAAAAATCACATTTAAAAAGTACATGGTTATCTTTTAGTTTGACAGTTATCATCGATATTGTTGGGGACTCGGGTGACACGGGCTGACAGGACGGGGCACACGTGGGTGAATCAAAGGAGGGAAAGAAAAGGAGACTGGGGCTGCATGGCTGACGGAGGGCTGAATGTTATTCCCGTGTCGCCTAAATACAGTGCCTTCTAGTTTAGCAAACGATTGGGAGCCGACAGCCCACCTTTTTCACTTCATAATTGTAATTTTCCTAAATATCGACCATGACCATGTTATTGTTTCAACGTCGAATGTATAGTTAAATGCGCTTATGGTCAGTGTTAAATTATCAGCGTTGAAATTGAATTGATTTTTTGGTCAGATTTTCAATATTTATTCAATGTTGATATAAAGTGAAACTTTAAAGATCAACGTTGTTTCAAAGTCTTTGTCTGATATAGAATCAATGTCATTTCAACATATGTGTGCTAGCCTATCTGGGGTAGCTAGAGGCTAAATAACTAAAAAAAAAAAAACGCGGACAGACAAAATACATTATAAAAGCGCCAAAACCACAGAAAGAAAACAATTTTGGATTAAAAAAAAAACATTTGACTTACAGCTATGTTTAGGTATATCTAATATATTATAAATTGTCAGGTGGGTTAAGTGAACAAAGGTATCAGGCATCACGGAAGCGGACAAAGACATGCAGACTTGCTTGCAGGTGTTATAACACGTTAATCTTTATTAGTACTTAAAAGGAGTACAACAGGGACCCAACGAACACCGAACCCAAACATGGATGGAAAACACTTAAGGTTGTCAGACGCCGAACTGCAACATGCAGACACGGCGGGAGATTCACACACGCTAAATACACGCGAGGATCGGACCGGGTACACACAAGACACGGACAAACACACGCGCGACAATAGGGAAACGCAACCATTGATATTAATATTAACAACAACACAACAAGGGCCATTTACAATTGCATGCTGGGACACGCGCCCCGCCAGTGCTACAATATATTCGGGTTTTAAAAGAAGTAAGGTCCACTGTGCAACTGAATGTCCTTTGCATTAGAACAGATTAGAGCACTGTACCTGAACTAAGTAGTGATTACTAAACAAATATTGGTCTTTGTGCTCAAGGGTTAGCAGCCTGTAAAACAGTAATGTAATGCATACCATCTTTCACTTCATTCATTATCAGTGACTGCTCCATAAACATAAGGAACAGGCTATCATTTGGGCCAGAATATTATTTTTGCTTCATCTGTGCTAAAGAGCTGATTAACCATCTGGTCACTGAGGACACCGTCTTTCTGCTTGTCATTTGCTTGGTTTCCTCATTGTGTTTCTGGTCGCTCTACTTAAACCCTATGTTAAGATTAGCCTGTACTCCTTCATGGCCACATCTCCCCAGACTCAATGCCTCCAGAGGAGCCCACATCTCCCCAGACTCAATGCCTCCAGAGGAGCCCACATCTCCCCAGACCCCATGTCTCCGGAGGAGCCCACATCTCCCGAGGCTCAATGCCGCTAGAGGAGCCCGCGTCTGCCCAGACCCCGTGTTTCCGGAGGAGCCCACATCTCCCCAGACTCAATGCCTCCAGAGGAGCCTGCATCTCCCCAGACCCCGAGTCTCTGGAGGAGCCCACATCTTTAGAACCTGTTTCTCCTACAGCCTTGTCATTGCACGACTCCCCAGTTGACCCTTTGCTAGCCATGTCTCATACATTTTTAAATGCACGGCTGCTGAGGTAAAGATATGTAAATCATATATATTCAACCATTGTTTTACTAATTTAGGTTTATGTAGCTCCACCTCCTGGTATTCAGCAATATTATAGGTACAGCCCAATTAACTCTTCCGACAGTTGAAAGCAGACTTATATAACCTCTCTTATTTAGGCAGGTTCAACAGGACTGTAAAGTATAAGCGGACTACAATTGCTTTACATCAGTAATTTAATTATTGAGCACAGGTACTAGCCCACAACCTGAAGCATTGTCTAACTGATGTGTTAGGATGCTGTCACTGGAAGGTCATTGGGTCAACTCCCATGGTTGGCAGAGTGCTGTTACCATTGGGCTCCTGAGCAGGGCCCTGAACCATCAACTGCCCCGCAGATGGTCTGACCTAGATTTCTCTCAAAGATACACTTTGCTTTGGGTAAAAGCATCTGCTAAATCAAGATGAGATAAAAGGTAACTAATAGAATAGAAATACTGTTATGCAGTGTGACTCTTTATAGAAGCAGCAGAGCTTATTAACTGGTAGCGCCTTCTAGGTTAGTTTGAAGATTGTAGAAGGCATCCATTATAACACTAGCTCCCCCTGCAGGAACTGAGAAATAAACAAATAGCAGAAGGAATTATTAAGTAAGCATCATTATTGATATACTGAGGGAGAACATGCAAACTCCCCACTACAAGGGAAGAACATGCAAACTCCACACTACACGGAGAGAACATACAGACTCCCCACTGCATGGGGAGAACATGCAAACTCCACACTACATGGGGAGAACATACAGACTGCCCACTACATGGGGAGAACATGCAGACTGCCCACTACATGGGGAGAACATACAGACTGCCCACTACAAGGGGAGAACATACAGACTCCCCACTACAAGGGGAGAACATACAGACTCCCCACTACATGGGGAGAACATACAGACTCCCCACTACACGGGGAGACCATGCAAACTCCACACAACAGAGGTGAACAGAGGCCTTGTCGTCCTGTCCATGGTGTACTCCGGCCTGTAACTTTTAAATGTTCTCTTATCATGCCCACTGAACATTCGTCAAATTTTGCATTATTGATACACAAACTGAATAATGGCTTGTGCTCTACTTCAGTGTAAAGGTCAGTGGCATCAAAAATATGTTCTTATACATTTATATGATACATACGTGACCTAAATTGCCCTCTTGTGTTTTTAACGCCCCATGTGCCATTCACCTGCGCTGCAGTACTTCAGATAGCACTCTTGCGAGAAACCCCAGCCTGTTTTTTTTACTTTCTTTTTTTAATCCTGGACATTAAATTGTTCTAATGACAAAATTCTTACCCAGGAAACATAAGACACGAGGCTGTTTACTTTATATTGAGCTAAAAAAATATCATGGGTAATGTTAACACATCCACCTTCATGAGCTACTTACCCAGTTAGGACTGTGGTGAACTAAGGCAGAAGTATTATACTCATAGGCTCAATAGATTCCAGTGCAGAACCCTCAGATATTAAGAGTGATTAAACATCAGTTTTTGGAAGTAATTGGAAGGAGGACAGGAAAGTCTTGCATAGACATATCTGATAGAAATCAAAACAACAGTCATTGAGTTGTGAGATGACAAGGCTACTCGCAGAAAAATGTCTTTTATTAGAAATGGCCACTAGATGGTGGTATGGGTAAGAGTTTTAGAAGGCATTTCAGAAAAAGCTGTGGATAATTTATTGGTTTAATGTGTATGAAATTCAAATCAATAAATAAAATAAATTGCCTGCATAATGTACTGAGGTAGTTACTGTGCAGTAATTTGTTATAAATAAGTTAATATGTATTCTCATCTATTTAATTATTCAGTATGACAGTTTTTCCCCAAGCATTCATTGCTTCTGAATTTCATATGTGGAACATACACTAAGGGAGCACTTTGCAAGAAACACTGTACTAATACTGGGTACGGCCTCCCTTTGCTCTCAAAACAGCCTCAGTTCCTCATGGCATGGATTTCACAAGATGTTGGAGACATTCTGGCCCATGCGGACATGACTGCATCACTCAATTTCTGCAGAATTTCACTGGGTATCTATGCTGTGCGCCAATTTTACCCAAAGATGTTGTACTGGATTCAGAACAGGTGACTTTGAAGGCCACTGAAGAACTGTGAACTCACTGTCACGCTGATGAAACCAGTTTGAGGTGACTTATGCTTTGTGACATGGTGCATTTTCATGCTGGAAGTAGGTACATTGTGGCCATGAAGGGATGCATATGGTCAGCCACAATACTCAAATAGGCTGTGACATTCAAGCAATGATCGATTGGTATTATTGGGCCCAAAGTGTGTCAGGAAGACATCCCCCACACCATCACACCACCGACACCAGCCTGAACTTTTGACATAAGGTAGGTTTGGTCCATGGTTTCATGCCAATGATGCCAAATTCTGACCATACCATTGGTGGTGCCTCAGCAGAAATCGAGATCCATCAGACCAGGTCATGTTTTTCTGTTCTCCAACTGTCTGGTGAGACTGTGCCCACTGCAGCTGCAGCTTTCTGCTTTTGGCTAATATGAGTGGAACCTGACATGGTCTTCTGCTGTTGAAGCCCATTTGCCTTAAGGTTCGACATGCTGTGCATTCTGAGATGTTTTCTGCTCACCATAGCTGTACAGAGCGGTTATCTGAGTTACCGTAGCCTGTGTGTCAGCTCAAACCAATCTGGCCATTCCCCTCAGACCTTTCTCATCGACAAGATGTCCACAGAACTGGATAGTTTTTTGCACCATTCTGTTGGCCATGAAAATCCCAGAAAAGTTACAGCAGTTACAGAAATAATCAAAACAGTGCGTCAAAAACTTTAGCGAAATTTCTTCTGATCATTGCTTTTCCATAAAACTGATTTTTTTTATCGCTAAAACTGTACAAGGGGCATGTACTGTATAATAACATAATATCCGGGAAAAATCTGTGTTGCATTTCAGGTGCGTTTCTTTCAGGTTATTTCGATGTCCACATAACAAGAGTGTCAGGACAATATGGAAAAGATATACAAGCAGTCCCTGGGTTAAGAACGTCCGACTTATGGATAAAAATTCTGGTTAAATACAATGGTTCGCAATAATGAATGCACGCCCTTTGTGACGCTCGTGAAAATATTGCACAGCTTCAGCAATTCGTGGGCTCCA